TGCCGCGTCGATTTACACGGTCACGAGTGCGGGGTGGAGCGAGGCAGACGTGCATTCGATGCAGCGCCCGGCTCAACTGTTGCGCGCGCTGGAAGTCCCGTGGATCGTCGGCCTGGACCCCGACATGGCCATAGACGATTTCCCGGAATGCGAGGTGGTCGCGCGGCTGGGGGCCAGGCTGGTCGCTCCGTTGGGAGGCGCCTGCGAGACGCGGAACGAGTGGCCCACCATCGGCTATTTCCTGGGTCCGAAGGCTGGGGCCTCAGTTGGGTTCCAACGTGGGTCTGTTAATATAGAGGTCATGAAACAAACGTTGCAACACATATTCTGCGTATCTGTGCATATGCGGTCTGGCAAATCGGGGTGGCATCATCGCGACGCCAACGGGCGTCGCGGACTCGAGCCCTTGGCCTGGAAGCACGAAGCGCACGATTACCCAGATCATGAAGTTCTGCAACCAGTCACTGTGCTCTGGGGGTGCGCGGACACGCAAAACACTGTTCAAGTAATCGTTAGCTGGCGCCCGCCTCGAACTCATGCCATCCCCCGCCTTTTCCAAATATCCCTTCGCTGCGGCCCCACCCTCCTCATGCCCCTCCGATTGCCCCGGTCTTCATCATGCCCTTCATCTACACTGCCCCCCCCCATGTGTCAATTCACGTCGTTCCTCGTCGTCCTCCTGCGCCGGATTCGTTCCCCCATCGTCCACATGCCTGCCCTCCTCCCATCCTCTACGCCCTAGTGCACATCATGCCCCCAATTTCTGCCCTCCCCCACCTCCCTCGCCCTCGTGATGCTGACGCCGATGATGCAAATCCTCCTGGGCTCTCTTCCTCCGCTCTCGTCCAGCCCCGTTCATCCTTGGCCCCTCGGCCACCCCTCCTATCGAACCCCTTCCTTCCCACAGCCCACCATCCCCACCCCCCCGCGCCTTTGCGCGCCCAGACCACGGCCCCCTCCTGGACCAGCCAGGAGACCCGCGGAAACTCCCGCCCAGTGACCACTCCAGCGAGAGGCGCGCAACAAATGCACAGTTGGAGACACGAACTGTGTATTTCGACCGCGCGCGACGCCGCCCCTGGACCAGCCGGAAGAGAAACGCAAAAGTTCCCGTCCATTCAACACCACCCGCGAGGGGCACACTCCAAATACACAGATGGGAACGAGATCTGCGCACACAGATCACACCACGATCTGTGTAAACAGCGGGCCCACACACGAAAATACACAGTTGAAGACACAAGCTGTGTACACAGATCACACCTTGATCCGCGTATTTCGAAAAGGTGAACGCTTGCCACATCGAGGGCGCCCCGACTTTGCCAACCCAGAACCGGGGTCGACATGCCCAGCTGGGGGGGGATGCAAATACACACTTCCCCGGCCCAGGGCGCCCCCGAGAGAACCGCAAATGCACGTTCCCCTGGCCCAGGGCGGCCGCGGTGCAACGCGGCGCCAAAGCGGCCCCCAACAGCCCCAAAACGCCCCAAAAAGGCCTCGAAGGACCCCAAAGAATGCCGCGCAGCAATCCGAAAACACGAGAGATGTCACATGTCAAGGACCTCTTAACAGTCCAAGCTCCACGCGTCGCCATATAGATCACTGCTCTGGCCAGGGGGGCGGACCTTGCCGCAGGCACCTATAATTTACACGTTAGCGATGCGACTGTGCTCGGCGGCCGTGCCGCCCGCATTTTGGGTGCGCCCCGAAATCTCGCATTGGCAATCCCCTCTGTTTGGTTGCGCCGCTGTGCTCGGATATCGAAAAAGCATTTGCCGCCGACGCGGGCACGCGGCGCCAGGGACTTCACTTTTCGAACAAGGAGGGCGGACGAGGTAGGACGACGGATGGTGGAGCAGGGAGGCAAAGAGGAACGAGGAATAATGAGGGAGGTGGGAAGGGGCTCTCCCCCGCCCGAGCCGCGGACGCTTTCGACACCATCCGGGGGGGGGGGGGGAAGGAAGGGGAACGGAGCAAGGGCGAGGACGACGACGGGAAGCAAAGTGTCCTGGGTCCGCATATAGCCATATGTCTGCGATTCGGGTGCGCGCGCTTTCTTCGAGGCACTTCAAGCCGGACCCATACTGAATTCACTAATTCCTCAAAGCTGTGTAAACACTCTGTCCTCTGTTCCCTCTCCTATACAACGGCCTCATAACAGAGGGGCAGTGGATTCCAAGGCCTCAGGTCCTGGGGGTCGAGGTGATGGAGGGGTGGCCTTCGCGCCCGCACAAGCCAGTGCGGTTGCGCCTCCACGCGAAGCCTGTGGTCTCCGTGTCTGCACTGGGATATTTCACATTGGCAGACATCCGCAGTCAACAACAACATGTAGATCAACATCACCTCGCAATGAAGGTACCATGCCAGTCAATCTCTCCGCTATACTCATCAAATTATCGCTTCGCACAGATATTTGCACAAAACCAAATTATTGCTCTCTTCGCAGAAGTCTGATCACAAGTAGAACAGACAAGCTCTGTGCCAACGTCAGCTGGTCGGAATGGATAGAGGAGATGACAGCGATTCCCTGGCGTCTTTGTTCGTTCACTGTGAGCTTCAACTTGAGAGTTCCGGTCGGCAAGTCATCTTTGTGGGCCAGACCGTCGAGCTCCAACGCCCCACAGGTATCTGCCCCATCCCAACGTCGTACCTTTTCCACCGTATTTGGTGCACTCGAATCGTACTTCTCCATTCTTTGAAGGGCCGAGGGTTGGGCCCAACTCACGATGTCCCTGAACTCGGGCTTCGCGATTATGGAGAAGACGCTTTTGTTCACGTAGTAGTTCTTTGCCACGAAGACCTGTGAGATCTGCTCGCTCCTGTTCTGCCCATTGTGCAACTGCTCGCGCAGTAGCACTAGCTGTGGCCTTTTGGACTTTCTTGATGATCCCGGCCTCTCGCGCCGCATGTAAGCACGCGTGGCCAGATCTATGTCTCGTGCCGTCTCGCTGTTGCTCTCCGTGAGCTTCGGCGCTGTCCATATTGGCGGAGGTTGCGCCCCCCGCAATGGCGCATCCCCAATCCCCGTATTATTGTCCGTCGTGGCAAGCGCAACTGAGTCGGAAATCCTCATGGCGTGCCCATGCTGGACGAATGTCGGGCGGCACTGGATTTTAGGGACCTGGCGCATGCCAAGCGGAGTCAGCGCTCCCATCCAAGATCTCGTTTCCCCCGGTGCCAGTCGACAACGACACAGGATAGCCATGCGAGCTGCTGCTGTCGAGAAGTATCTCGCCATGCGCTCCAGCGTGGCCGTTGCCGCGTTCTCCTGGGGGGGGACCTGAGCGAGCCCTGTGCTGACCGCGAAATCAATCGCGCGCTCTGCCCAGGTGACTGAGAGTGGCGCCGTGGGTGCATCAGCTACTCCCCATTGTAGTTGCATGAAGTACCAGACCACAGCAGGTACAAGAGCATGCTGGCACCTCCAGGTAGTAGAGGTAACCTGCCCAGGGATGTTCCGGATAAACTTCCAGGAAGGTAAGTTCGGTGTGATATCCTGTGCAGGCCGTCTTCAAACTCCATGTCAAGAGGTTGCCAGTCAAAGGGTTCAAGACCATGGGCTGGTGTGAAATGCTCGCGGTGCTCGTGCGCGTGGCAACTGAAGGGCATGATGCCGTGGCTGCTGTTGCCGATGTACGACTCGCGCTGGTCGTCGTGACCCTGGAGGTCGTAGGCGATGGTGCTCGTCTTGGCGGCGGTGCAGATGTGCTGCGATACCTACGCATGGGCTCTACGTCGAGCACGGTCGTAGGCGGTAGTTGTGGGCGCGCTGTGGCAGGGCCCGTGTCGGACACGCGCGGCGACGGCGAGCCTGGAAGCCGCGTTGGCACGCCAAGACTTTGCGTCCTAACGCCATCCGTGGCGACCGAGCCTGGTAGCCCGGTTGGCGCGCCAGGATTTCGCATTCTGACTCCAGTAGTCTCCAGACACGGACCGCGTGATGTCGAGGCTGCCTGCGGCGGTTCATCTCCGCCATCCATGCCGAGATGTGCCCGAGGATCATATTCATCATCTTCGTCGCGCTCAATATGGCCTTCTCCTTCATACTCTGCGTCCAGAAAGACACGAATGTGGGCACTTCAGGGAATGCGAGGTGGTCGCCCGGCTGGAGGCCAGGCTGCTCGCTCCGTTGGGAGGCGCCTGCGAGACGCGGAACAAGTGGCCCACCGTCGGCTACTTCCTGGAAGCGGCGGCTGGGGCCTCAGGTCCTCGGCGTCGAGGTGGAGGGGTGGCCTTCGCGCCCGCGCAAGCCAGTGCGGTTGCGCCTCCGCGCGAAGCCTGTGGTCTCCTGGCTTCGGGGTCGGCGGCGCCGGCAGCCCTCCCGATGGGCTGTCCTGTCGGGCCTGAACGGGAGCCCGTGGGCAGGCCCTGTCGCAGAAGGACCTGGGCAGCGTCTACGCACAGGTGATCGCGGCGCTGGAAGGAGGCCCCGCAACGCCACGACCTCGTCGGCGGCGCCGGCACTCGGCGTCGGGGCCGCGGCGAGGCCCTGCGGAGACGCATCGTGCTCCAACGGGCGCCGAACACGCGGGGACATGCCTCGCGGTCGCGGCGCGCCGTCCATTTGCAGGCGCTCGAGGATATCTCGGGGAGTTGTTCCACCTCTCCGCGCGCGCAGCGGCGCGGCCCCTGGATGAGCGCCACAGGCAGAAGCGAGGCTTGCTTCGCGAGCGCCCGTTGCGGCGGGCCCGCTGGGCCCGCGCCGACCCCGAGCGCGGCTGGGCCGAGGCCAGATGGCGCCGCGAGCTGCGAGCCCACGAACTCAAGGCAGGCGAGGTCTCTCTGGTCGCCTTCGACTCGGCCAGCGACGAGAGAGGGCAGATCGACGCCGCGCGGGCCGTCATCCAAGGCGCGGCAGGGCGCGCCCAGCGCGGCGATCAGGCTGCGGCGAGGGCGCGGCTGCGGCAGCGCTTCGAGGAAGCCTCATTGGGCAATGCCGGCGGCGGGCGCGGATGCGCAGCCCCGCAACTAAGGGGGGCGTTACCTCGGCCGAGCCCCAGGCCACGTGCGAGGCCGAGGTGGCGAAGTGGAACCACGTCTGGCGGTCCCACTGCAAAGGCGCGCAGGGCGTGCCACGCGCCCGGCTGGATGGGGCTGCAGATGATGAGCCGCTGCCTGTGCTGGGCGGGCCTGCCGTGAGGAACGTGGCCGGGCGCTTTCAAAAGCGCGGGGCTGGGCGTCGAGAACGAGAACCCTCGCGTCCTCCGCAACAGCTCCGCGGCGGCCGTGGGTGCCTTCGCCCAGCTCCTCACGCCGGCGGAGGCCTCCCTTCTGCGGCCGACGCAGATCAACCTCCTTCTCTATTACTTCGTGATCCGGAAAGCCGCCGGCGGCCTCCGGCCGATCGGCGAGATGCCGACGCTGGTCCGGCTGTGGGAGGTTGCTCGCTTCAACCTGGTCTCGCAGTGGACGGCGCAAGCTCGCCGCCCCCATGGCCGGGCGCGCCGCGGGGGCTCGGCGGAGCAGGCTGCGCGGAGACACCTTCTGGGAGAGGAGGCGCGGGACCGCCGGGGGGCCCCGATGGCGACGCCGCAGCGACGGCGCTCCTCGATTTGGTGAAATGCTTCGAGAGGGTGCGGCCGAAGCACGCATGGGCGCGGGGGCTGCGGCGGGGTTTTCCGAAGCGCATCCTGCGCGCGATGCTTGTGAGCTTCTCGGCGGCGCGCACGGCGGTGCCAGGCGACTGCTACTCCAGTCTGGTGTCGGCGATCTCTGCCATCGTGCCGGGCTGGAGGTTCACTATGGGGGGCCCCCACTTCGAGCCATGCGACATCAGGCTCGCGAGGTGACCCGTGGACATGAGCAAATACGCTGACGACCTCACCCTCGCCCAGTGCGGTCGCGCGGCCGAGGTCGCAGAAGGCGTCGCAGAGGCTGCGACGTGGCTCGTGGGCCACTTGCGCGACGAGCTCGACCTCGAGGTTAGCCTCTCGCAAGGCAACGAGCAGGGCGAGTCCGTGGCACTGGGCACATCGCTTGCCAAGCTGGGCCCCCCCAAAGAGCCGCGACGATTTCAAAATGGGAAAATGTCCAACACGTTGCTCTCCTCGAGCTGGACCGCGGGGAATCATCGCGGAACGCCCGCGCGCCATCAAATCGCCGCGCGCCGCCTGCCCCCGCCATTGAATCGCGCCAGGCGAGCCGCGGAGGCGCGGCCAACGCGGCCCCCGAGCCAGGCCGCCACGTGACCGCCATGGAACTCATCGCCGCGATGACGCTCCATTCCGCAATCGTAGCGCCCGCGCGAATTGTGGGCGCGAGCAGCCGTCGAAGCACAGGCGGAACGGCCCGCGCGCGCAGCCGTCGAAAGGCCGGGCGCTGCCCCAGCCGCGCGGCCGATAGCTCGCGCGGGAGACACACCCCCAAAGCTGATTCATGATGGAACGCGCCGGCGCGGGACCGACGGACCGCATGAAAGGGCCACTTTGGAGACCCCGCGCGAAGAAGAACCGCTCGAGCGCGAGCGCCGCGCGGGGAAATGGCGGGACGCCAGAGGCGGTTGGATCTCGCGCCCGCGCAAATTAAGCATACTCCGCTTCTGGGGAGTAGTGGCGCTCGTGGGGCTCACCGCGGGCGCGGGGGCCGCTGACGCAGACTCTGCCGCAACCGAGACGAGGCCCCGGCGCTCTCCCGCTGGGGCCGCGGCGCGCGGCTGCGCTGGTGGCGGAGAAGAGGGGTCCGACGGCGAACGTCGGCTTCGAAGCCTCAACGGCCGGCCGCGGGCGCGGCGGCGCAATCGCGAAACCGCCGCGCGAGGCAGCGCAGCCCGTCGCGAGGGCATCCTTTCCAACCGAGCGGGGTCCCCGGGGGGGCCCCTGGCCCCCGCCCCGACCCCCCCGCCGCCTTCCCGCGGCGATGTGGGGCACTTTTTCGGCCAGATTCTGCGCGCTTTTTTGGCCTGTCTTCCGCGGGGGCACACCTTTTGGACCGCGATGCTTCCCCCGCTTAAATCAATAAGAAAATCGCGTTCAAAATCGTGGGCGGATCCGTCGGGCCTTGCAAGGGGGCGCGGAAACGTGGCCGAAAATCGCGGGCAAAATCGCGTCCGAAATCGCAGGCAAAATCGCGTCCGAAATCGCGGGCGGAATCGCATCGCCGAAATCGCGGGCGCAGAATCGCGGGCCTGCCTGGCGCGCCGGCATGCCAAGCAGGCGCGCCCGCGCAACATCAGCGACGGCAGAGGAAAAAAGCAAGAGGAGGGGGCGGCAGCGGCGGCAGGAAGGCCAGCAGCAGCAGCAGGAAAAAGGGAAGAATGGGAAGCAGCAGCAGGAGAGGAGAAGAGGTGGAGTCGTCGAAATTGGCCCGCCCGTTCGCCGCGCGCCCCATTGCGCGCTGGACATGCTTCGCTCGGGGGGAACTCGCCAGCCCAACGGGCCAGAGGCGCGCGAGGATCTCCGGCGACTGCCTCGCGGCATTTCCACTTCGCGCGCGCGGGGCGACCCAGCGGGGCTCCCGGGCGCAAAGGGCCCCGGCAAGGTCGGGCCAGAGATGGCTCTTCTCCTGGGCGCGGCTCCCAGGCGCCCCAGAGCGATACAAAAGGGCCCCGAGAGGCGCCCAGGACGGTCCAAGAGGGCCCCGAGTCGTCGAATGATCGGCCCGCGACGCCCACGATGGCATCCAGACAGCCCACGACGTGCGCGAGACCCCCGAACAGGCCACCGCGAGCTGAAACGACACCCGAAAACGCGATTCTAAGCTTCAACGAAAAATGGTAGCAGCCAGACGAGGCAGAAACAGACCTGGGGCGACACCGCTCGAACGACGCGTCGATGCGAGATCGCGCGCAAGCCGCGCGCCGAATGCCCAATGCATCGGAGCGGGTCGGCGACGCAACAACTTCTGAACAAGAAAATGCGAACAACTTCGAAATCTATGTTTGCTTCGGAAAAAAATCGTCGCACAAATCCGCTTGGGGGGCGCAGCTTCATGACATCGTGCTGGTTGGCTCGGGCGCTGGGCCTTCGCTCGCGGCGCCTGGGCATCCGCGCGGCGCGAGAGGCGTGGCGCCTGGGCCTGGACAGGTTCGGCGAAAAGACCGACGCGCAGGCGGCGGCCCAGGTTGCGGCACGCGCGGCGGGGGCGCTCGAAGGCCACGGTCGACCGCCCCCGCCGGCTGAAGCGCGCCAAGGCTCAAGGCGCCGCCGTCTGGAAGGTGGCGAATATTGGCCTCGAAGCCGGCAGCGATCCATGGCCGCGAAGCGCCGCCCCTCGCCCCGCCCGAGATCCAGCGGGCGCGGGCGACGGTCGGCCAGGCGCTGCCGGGCAAGACGCGCCTCGAGAGCACGTCTCTTCGGTTCGCATACTTTGGCAAGGGCCCGGGCCCCGAGTGCCTCGCGACGCGGATCGGAGTGGACTGGGCAGGCATGGGAAGCCGGGGTCGCACCGTCCATTAATTATGCAGGCGGCGTAGGCAGCAGGTCGCGCTCCTCGTGGGCGACGCCTGGAAGGGCCCGAGGGGCCCGGCCTCCTCCGCCATCTTGACGGCGAGGGAGATAGGCTGGACACATTCATTCTCCCGCTCGCGCGCTAGCGAGCTGTCTCCGAGCGCGGCCGCGGCGCGCGCGCGCGGGGCGGCCCAAAATGGGCAGGCCCGTCCCGCGCGCTCAAGCCGGGGCGCCGCGCGCCAGACGGTGGAGTCCGTCTGGTCGCCGATGTCGGCGAGGCAGCGCCCGTCAGCCTTAGAGTGGGAGAGGAGGGAGGGGGGCAGAGAAGCTGCGGAGACAGCAGGAGCTTGCTCACAGAGAATAGAAGAAGCATTCTCCCGCTCGCGCGCTAGCGAGCTGTCTCCGAGCGCGGCCGCGGCGTGCGCGCGCGGGGCGGCCCAAAATGGGCAGGCCCGTCCCGCGCGCTCAAGCCGGGGCGCCGCGCGTCAGACGGTGGAGTCCGTCTGGTCGCCGATGTCGGCGAGGCAGCCATACCCGTGCTCAAGGACCTTGCGAAGTGACAAGGTTTTGGCGGGCGGCCGCAAGCAGGGCAGGCCAAGCGGCGGGGCCGACTTGGAGGAACGAAGCGACAAGGCGGTCGCTGGCGGTGGCGAAGAACAAGATACGAGCCCGTGCGTGCTCGGGCAGCGCAGCAAGAACTGTGGAGGCGGCGGCGGCTTGCAGGTAGCGCTCGGCACTGGAAGCTTGACGCCAGCGCCCTCGCCAGAAGACGCGGGGGACGTCTTCCGTAGCGATATAGAAGTCTGTTGCGCCAGAGCCCCGCAGACAAGCGGGCGTCAGGTTGAGCCCCTGACCTGCTTTGGCAAGAGGGACGCCCAGAGCCAAAAGCAGATGATTCCACCGAGTACGGAAGCCGCTCGCGCCGAAGGGGGCGAGAGGATCGGTGGAAGCCAACCTCCCAAACACATGATTCAATATCATCACCGTGCCCCGATCGGAGCAGCGAGCATGTTGCGTCGGGTACGTTCTTCTGGTCTTTGGAACAAGAATCGAAAGAAAAGCATCCCCTTCAACTTCGAGACGGTCGCATGGAAGCGACAGGTCACAGCGGCGTGACGCCAGCAGTTCGCCAGGCCTGAGGAACATCGTGAAGCCCATGAGCAGCAGGGCCGCCATCACCGGCCAGTCCCAGGCGAGACAGAGCCCGACCATGGCGCGCAGCAGCGCGCGTGGCAAGGGGGGACGGAGCTTTGGCGGCTCCGCAAGCTTCCATTGTTTCGCTACGTCCCAAGCTTCTGTCAGAAAGGCCTTCCAATGCGGATGGGCGCTTTGGATTCCCAAGATGGCATGGACCAAAATATAATGAGGGAAACCTGCATCATGAAGCCACACGCCGAAGGTCGCGAGGAAACGGGCGAGAAGTATCCCGCTTCGGTAAAGTGTGGCGGGTGGCACGCCAGTGTGTTCTGCTAACCACAGCTCGAAGGCATCAATCGATCTCGAGCGACGGTCGAGATACGCGGAGGTGAGGTGAGAATCGCGCACGAAGGGAGTGCGCGGAGGGCGAGCGGGCGCGGACGGCGCAGCCCGACTAAGCCCTTGGCCTGCGGTCGGCGCCGCGGCTCCCAGAGAGATGCAGAGGCCGCAGACGCACCACAGGATGAGCGCAGGGCGGCCAGGGCTTGGAGAGCTGATCAGCGTGGCGGCCCTCCTGCGCCTGGACGCGTAGAAGGGCGGAACGAGGGCGTCCCGCCCGTCGGTCTCGAACCCCGACGCCTCCGCCAGCATCGCCCGCGCCGAGCTGAAGGATCCGCCCATGTTACGGTAGGCACGGCGAGCCCCTGCTTCGATCTCGGCTGGCAGAGCGTCCCCTCCCTCGAGGGTCGCCCAGTCAAAAGGCGGGCGCGGCTCGGCACGCGCAGCTGCGGCTGCTTCGGCGAGCTCGGAACGAGCTGCCGAGGACGTGAAGCCCGAATGATGTGGAACGGGCACCACCTCCGCGAAGGCGTCGAGGATCTCGGACGGAGGGGAGTG